GTTTTCTGAAGAAACGCAGTAGTCACCAGGGCCGGCCCTGAGGGGGGGCAGGGGGGCGGCCGCCCCGGGCCCCCGAGTAGGAAGGGGCCCCGATTCCCCTTGCGTGTGTTATGTTTTAGGAAAGAAATGTCATTCTTAGGAAACAAAAAATCCTTTCCAGATCGACTGATTCTCAAAATGGTAAAGTATCCTTTCCCATGATTAATTTTGCGTTGATGTATAGGAAAGAATATTTTCCCACGTAACAGATTGACTGATTTTTCTCAAAAAAGGGAAATAATTGTAACAGATCCGTCAATTCTGGCCTTGCCTCACGCGCGTGGTCTTCTTGTCTTTCTACTTCTTCTTCAGACCTGTCAATGAATCAGCTATGCAAATGCCAAGGTCAACTGCTTGTTGCCGCGTCGTCTAATTGTGATTTTCTGCAGCTGGACACGATTAGTGGAGAAAGGTAATACAATTTTTAAGATTCCATCAACCTCTTCTTCAACGCCAATTCCCTTTTTTATAATCTTGTCAGATTGTTCGGTTCATGAAGTTAATCCTCGTACATATCTCTTTCTCACAATCCAGTTTCTTGTATTGATAGGGAATAGAAAAGGGAAACTCGGATTTCTGTTTGTGACTCGTAATGTTCTAGCTATCCAGGTACCTTGTTCTATGCCTCTTCCTTAGCATTTTTTTAATTAGCAGTTTTCTTAATTTATTATCATATGTTTGTTTACTAATTAGAAAGAGTGCTATTAATTTAGCAAGATTTTATTTAGAAAGTATCCATCTGACAATGAGAAAAAAAGAGAAAATGCATATGAATTGATTGGTTCTCAGAAAACTACTTCTCCTAGGCATTTCGAGGAATTAGCTTTAGTTACTATTGAAAAACAACGTTTTTTTTTTCAAAAAGGAGGATTACCCCGGCTTCTGCATCACCATACAACCATCTTTATTAATTATTCACGAGAGTTTGATAAAATAAATACAAGGATCAATCTGAAGCCCTCTTCTAGACGAACAAAGTCGCTTCACCTACAAGTAAACAACAACATAGCAAAAAATTATAAGATGATAAAAATTTGATTTGGCACGGAAGTGTTACTAATTCACCTAATAAAAAAAGCAAGTATCGATTGACAAGAGTGACGAACTTTTTATATGAACAGTTGTTTCACCAGTTTTTCTGAATAGTCAAGATGACAAGACAACATAGATTATAGTGTAGTTAGTATTTATTTGCAATTAAAATAGAAAAAACATAAAGTATCTATGTAGTCATAGGGCCCCTTTTTGGTATCTTGCCCCGGGCCCCCAAAATCTCAGGACCGGGCCTGGTCACCACATCAGCCACGCCAGCGCCACAACGGAGTATAGCAAGCAAGTTTGATTATCATTTGCCCAGCGTCATTTTTCTGTACCATGTCGCACAATAATCGCTTTTTTTGGACCAGACATTAGTTACAGCACTCGCTTGCGGAGTTTTGGCTGTAGGGAGCATATGCTCCCTGCTGAACGGTAAATTAAAATTAAATAGTAAGTAAATTTTTAAAATTCTGAGTTGTTTTATAGTGAGTCAATTACATCACTGGTACTTGAACTTGACGCAAAAAATCACTTTAGTGCTAAAACTTGTGGTGTACATTGAATCGGTGCAACAACTTGGCTTCTTTGTGCAAATACGGTGCAAACCACAGTTGAATACGCTGCAAGGCTGAGTAGGCATGCCAGCCTGGCATAGGGCCGCTGTCAGGACAGAAGATGCAGGGCATGTGGCCTGTAAATTTTGCGAAAATATCCTCAGAAATTTTTTTATCACGAGAAAGCCGCAGCAAGGTGGGTCCCGTCTATCAGTACAAAGTGTATATGATCATAAAAATTAGTCATGCTCTGTCTTGAACGCGAGAACTAGAGTGTGCACGCTGAAGATACTAGCCACGATCAGCCCCAACATTTACCATTGCCATACTGGATAGCTTTTTTTTTTGAGACAAGCCATACTGGTAGCTAGCCTAAATATGTTATAACAAGTACGCTCACTGGGCATGGACAGCAGTTAGTGCGGCCCATTGTACGCGCTATTTTCTTAAGATATTTGCAAAATACATGTAGTAAGCAATAAAGCAATGTTCAAATATTTGTATGCTATAAATATTATACATAAAAATTTATGATTAGTAAATAAAAGCATTCAAAATGTTCAATGAATACGAACATTTTTGTACAGGCGTGGCTCATATTTAAATTATACAAAATAATGAATACAAACATTTACGAAATATTTATGACCATCAACTTATGTATAATTTTCACTTGTGGCCTATATTCATTTTTTTACATAACTTAAGTATTACCACTGTTGAATATTCATATCAAGATTTTATTTTCTAAATTATGAATATTTTATTAGTATACAAAAATTATTTTAAACGACATACTTATGAGTTATAAAATTATGTGTATAATTATTTAAACGTTTCTATAATTAAAAACAATATTTATGAATTATAATTTAAGAAATATTTGTATACTTTAATTAAACATTTTTATAATTCATAAACTAAGTACATGAAAATTTCAAAATAATACATGACCATTTTTAAGTAAGTTATTTCATTAGTATGTATAATATTGATAACACACTGATATAACACACCAGTATAATTTTTGTTTCTATTCATGTGTTATAATACATGTTTTTTTAGAAAACACAGAATCTTTATTAAAACAACTTCTTGAAGCAACATATTTTTTCTAAAGGATTACTATTTTATTCAAATTGTGATTTTTTTAATTTATATGAGAATTTATCTGAATATATACGAGCTTGTTTTAATGACTTACACAAATATTTGTATATTTCTTAATTGAATATTTTATGAAATTATATGAATTTTTTTAATTGGAGTGGAAGGATCGGTTGAAGGTGTTTATGTGGTCGCTAGTTCGAGTCCCTAAGCCATCTGTTTAAACTTGTATAAAAAATCTTAATTTACATTATTTAACGGAAATGTTATAAAAGATATGTATTCATATGAGCTAATGAATTCCTTAGGCTGAGTGCCTAGTTGCGCACGCCCTGTCCCAACAGGTCCTCGGTTCGAGTCCACAGTTGACTGATTTTGTTTTTCTCATATAATGTATCTAGGATGCTGAGACAACTAATTACTTTTACCCACGCCGGGGGCTTTTTTGTGAGCAGAAAACTGTTGAGGGTGTTTTCACAAAAAAGCGGGCCACAAGTCTCCAACTTTTCGTAGCTGACAGTGGATCCATGCCATGCTGTCACGCCTAGTCAGCCTTGTGGGCATATTCAGCTACCTTTTGCACCGTATTTGCACGTCTAAGCCAACTTGTTGCACCGGTTCGATGTACACTGCAAGTTTTAGCACTAAAATGACTTTCCACGCCAAGTTGAAGCACCGATGGTGTAATTGACTCTTTTATAGTTCTTCTTGTTAGTGTAACAACCTTGGTTGCCAATTTTCATGTGAAATGGGATAACAATGCTTCATCAGCGAAAAAAGCAAAATTAAATAACATTTGTCGTTTGACTTGTTTTTTTTTTGCACATGTCAAAATGCGTATGTTATCCCCATAAATAAAATACAAGTAGCATTTGGGTGTGACAACGAACACATATTTTTTTTCCAAAAAAGTTTTAACCCGGGCAAAATACATTTTGGGATACTCCCTAGAGCCAAAAGCAATATCCGCTATAATTACCGCTGGGATTGACATATCTTTTAGAGTGTTAAAAATGTCAAACTTAGTGGTAAAAGATGGAATTTACTCTATCTTTTATGCTTGTTAGAACTTGATTTTAAAGTCCTTTTGTGTTGATAATACCATAAGAAAGATTAAACATGTCAGAATGGTATATAATCGAATGAAATTATAACAGTGTGACTAGCTCAAGCCTCAATCCGTGCCTAGCTTGCATGGTTGCCTGGGTGGGCATATAACAACAACAATGGACAATAAAGGGATGAATCCCCATTTATATTTACATGGAAAATTTGCAGGATGTTTGTTTGACATATCTAATGCTCTAAGGAAACACTTCAGCTAAAATAGGAAGATGATACAGGGCACTGGAACTCGGCCGAAAGAAAACTCTCCAGACGCAAACTGCAAAATCCGATACCGGACACATGGTCATGACCGAGTAGTTCTTTCGTTGCATTTCTGTATGTCCCATGACGGCGGTCGTAGATATGAAGTTCCGGTGGTTCGCCTTTCTCCCTGCTGTAGAAGAGCAGCTGCAAACCATCATCATCTAAAACCCGTAAAGGCATCATGTGACGACGGTCAATTGCGGATGTATCCAAGGGAATCGTGTATGCCTTGACCCATACGCTCTTGTGATGATCTTTTAGGAGCCATATGTTTGTATATCCAGAGTGACGAACCTCAGGTTCAACCATGCACAAGGAACCATTGAGCTCGCCTAATCTGATATTCAGGCGTCCAAGTTTCACCTTGGGCGGGCCTTTGATCCCGCACTTCCACTCCTCGCTCTCGAGGTCAAAGAAGAGTAGGGTGCCCTCCTCGTCAGGTAGTGCCACTGGCAAGAAATGCAGCATACCGTTGACCGCTGCAGTGTAGTTGTCATGACTGGAGCCGTCGAAACGGAATGGGGGACATTTTCTCCGCTTCCAACCGTCATTGTCTCCTACCGTGAAGACCTCGCAGTGGTGGAATCCGAGACGCACCATCTTGTAAGCGCCGGATGGGACGGCGCGGCCGTAGCCCCAGGCTCTGTCGCTTTTCAGGTGGGTGACGGGCATCTTCATGGTGGTGAGGTCGATCACCCCGGCGAGGTTGTCGTCCTTGGAAAAGCCGGTTGTAACACACACGAAGCCATCAGGATTCGTGGACACCGGTACCCAAGGCCTGTTCATGCCACTGATCACCCTCACGACGGTGCCGTCCATATCAACCAGGCGAAGTGACATGTCATGGTCGGAGCCGACGACGAGGAGCGGCTCGGGCGGGCGGCGCTCCTGCGCGGCGGCGATGAAGACGGGGTCGGAGATGCGGTCACGGCACTCCCTGGACACGCATCGGAACCGGCACATGGACTTGGCCGGGACCCTGGAGAGGATGTCGAAGATGACGTCGCTCGGCAAGGTGGTCGGCGTCTTGCTCCACGGAATCTGCAACAGCAGATCATGTGCCTGTTGCAGACGGCGCCGCAACGACGAGATCGTGATCCCCATCTGATATGGCTTTGTCAGCAGGCGATTTCACCGCTGATTCAAGATCCGGCTTCCTTGGAAGACGGCTCGCACCCTCGGGACAGAGGATCAAGATTGGCGGTGAATAGATGACCGGAGAAGATTGCTGATCCTCCTTACGCCGCTACTGCTATCGGCTGATCCATATATAGGTTGAATCGAATCTGTAAGCAGACGGAGCCGAGATCTGGATGGACTCGGACGTCGTGCTTGAAGTCTCCGTATTGGCGTCGATCGGGGGGTTTAGGACGGGGAGTTCAGCGGCAGTAGATGCGCAATCAAACAGATGCGACTGAAATCGAGATGGATTCGGAGATGTGCGCACCAGAGCATGCAGGCAAACCGGGGGAGAGGATCGTCAGGACTCTGACTGAACTCGCTACTGTCGAAACCCAACACTTCGTCAGTTAAGCCACGGTGCAGCTGTATCAGCAAGGATGGAATGGACGGTCAGGATCCAGGCGGGCAAGTGACCTGATACAGTTTTTGTTTACTGTTTACTTTCATTTTCGTTTCCACAGCTGCAACATTAAGTGGTTTTAGAAAAGAGTTTTAGAAAGTTTTTCTTAGAAAAACAGCTTTATTACTAATAATTTGGGTAGAAATAGGCTTATACAGAATCTTGTTCTTGGATAAAAAGAAAGTAAAACACGCTAAGAAATTCCCAACTCTGCCCCTGCGTCGCTCTTCCTGGGCGACACGGTCGGCGTCGCTGTTCTCCCCGCCTAACCCCCTCTCCTCCCATCTTTCCCTCCCGCCGTCAAATGTAATATATGAAGACATGAGGCTTCAAATGATATTTTACAAGATGTAAAACCGTATAGTTTTATTTTACTCAATTAGGGAGACGTAAGAGTCAAACGTGCATCTAGGCGTCAGCTGGTTAGCATTAGGCCGACTTTCCAGTCCCTTGTGAAGTTCGTTGTCCGTAACGGTAAATCTACGCGTTTTTTGTTAGACTGGTGGGTTGGGGACACCACGTTGGCGGTGGCCCACCCGACGCTCTTTTCGTTTTGTGCTGATCCCGAGATCTCTATCTTTGAACTCTCGGCTCAGGGTTGGGTTTTAGATTTCCGGCGCTCTCTTTCCCTGTAGAGTTGGAAGATTGGCAGCGCCTTACTGCCTGCTTCCCCCTGCTCTCGGAGGAAGAGGACTCCGTTGCTTGGCCCCACTCCTCTTCGGGGCGTTTTTCGGTAAAGTCGGCGTATTCGAAACTTATCGCTGGTAACCGCACTGACAAGTTTAAGTAAATTTGGTCTGCTCGCATCCCTCCTAAGATTAAAATCTTTCTATGGCAAGCTCACCGTCACAAACTTCCAGCGGCTGACCAGATTAAGAAGAGGAACGATCCGGGCTCATACAGTTGCCAGCTTTGCGGTTCCCTGGAGAATACTGAGCATATCTTTTTCCAGTGCTCTTTGGCTAAATTCATTTGGAGCTGCATTAGACTTTGGCTCCGGGTTAATTGGATCCCTTCCTCTTTTGAGGATCTTCGGCATTGTATCAATTCCCTAGCAGGCCGGTCTAAGAGGGTTTTCATGGTGGGCTGGGCTGCAATCTGTTGGGCGCTCTGGACTACTAGGAACAAGTTCACTATTGAACACATTTTCCCAACTAACCCAGCCAGTTGCTTATTTAAAACCAATGTCTTTTTGCAGCAGTGGAGATTATTGACTAAGGATGGGGATCTAGAGGCGTTCGATGATACGCTAAAATGAAATCTACCGCTTCTTCCCTGCTGCGGCTCTCTAGGAGGACGCTTTCTTAGTGGTTTGGCTGCTTGTTTGGCTGGCCTGCGCGCCATGATAGGCTGGTTGCCTTGTACTCGTACTTCTTATTCGGTCCTGTTAAACTATTGTGGTTCCTTGGGATGGTTGTGACTCCGCCTGGTGGCTTTATTTATAAAGTCGGGCTATCGCCTTTTCTCTAAAGAAAACGTGCATCTATGCAATGATGCAAATATGCGAGTGAATTGCAAAAAACATCGACATTGAAGGTTAGAGTTGCAGAAACCATAATTCTACAGTTTTGTGCCAAAAATCACTAATTCTGAGCCTAATTTTTTGCAAGTAACACGAGTTGGCCTCTTTGCGTGTTTTGATGACAATTATGACAGACGGGACCCACATTTTGCCGAGGTGGCGTACCGATTCACGATAGATGACGTTAGACTGCGTATTTTTCTAAAAAACTCCTCCTCCCTAGCAATATCTCCCTCCCCTGCCCAGGGTCGGGATCGGTCGTCGTTCCCCGCACACCATCGGCCTTGTGTATTCTAACGTCGTCGCCGGCGGATCGCCGGCGGTGTACCCGCGCGCCCAACAGTACCGCCGCCGCGGCCTGGCCAAAGGTGCTCGCCGCCCCCTTCCTATCGGGCGCTCTCGTGGCCGTCTTCCCTGTGGTCGTCGAGTGCACGTCGAGATGGACAACCTCCACTATGTGGACGCCGGCGACGTAGATCCGCCCTCGCGCGGCTGCCGCGGCTCCCTTCCACGGCATCCCGTGGCAGCGGGCCTTGAGCACCTGGTTCCCGCTGCGGCTCCCGCCTCTTTCCTTTGCAAGTGCGTGGGGTGAAGCCGTCGCCAGGCCAACGAGCTACATCGACCCAGCCGGTGCGCCCGAACAGCAGCAAGACGACTCGCGCGCTGCCGTACGTGGCCGCCACCATGAGCGGCGTTCGTGACTCGTACGCCTTGCTCCGGCCATACCACACTACCACAGCCCAACGTCATCAGGCGCTCCCGTCTTGGTGGATGTCGAGCGCGCCGGCGTGCGCGCCAACAGCAGCTTCACCGCGCCTTCCTGCGCCGTTCGGGGCACGAGCAACAGCAGCTCCACCGCGCGTCCCTGCGCCGGCCGGGGCACGAGCCGCAGCAGCTCACCCAGGGCCGGCCTTGTGTTTCGGGAGGCCCTAGGCGAACTCGACAACATGGGCCCCTAAGTCCTAAGACCATATATATGTATGTATCTATGTATTTG